AAATGTCGTGGTGCATCTGCCTGGCCTTGGAGCAGCCAGAGCAGCCACATACCTCTGACGAGCACGGCGTATGGCAGCAGGAGCTTCTCCTTGGGCCTTGACGCCGTATATCAAGGCGGGCATGGATCCCTGGTTCAGCATTGTCATTCCCTTTTCATGTCGGAGTCGCCGGAGCTTTTGCCCCAACGGTGTCATGCGATTGTATGCTTTTACTCTGCGGTCCGTGTTTGTTGCTCTTCGTCCGACACCTTTCGCCGCCCTGTCAATGCCCAGGTCGCGGGCCTCATGAGCAGCTCTGATGTCGATGCCTTTCCTCTTGAGCCTTGCCGTGGTCCTCTTGGTCATGGCCCAATCGGACGAGATGATCACGCTCTTGTCTGCCAGCTCCAATCCCTCATCGCTGAGGGCTCTCTCTAACTTGTCCGTGGCGTCCACAATGATGTTCTCCACCGCTGTGGCACTGCCGTAGACCGTGGTGCTCGCGTCGTCGAACCACGCCCTCGGGTGGGCGCGCGGGTCCTGGAGGGTAACCTTGTCCAGCACCCTGTAGACCACCGCTCTCGCAAGATTGTTCGCGTGCCTGGAACCCGCTAGCAGCGAGATCAAGGCCTGACATGGATTGCCGTAAGCCCCCCCCCCCCCCTGGCGAAGGAGCCTCGGCGCTGCATGAACTTGGAGCCCTAGTGCAAGGACTCGCTGTGGGAAACGCAGGTCCTCGCATGCCGTCGCCACCGTCGGTATCGCCAGCGTGTCATAGAACCTGCTGATGTCCGCCAGTGAGACCGCCGACGCCATGGCCAGGGCGTCCGCCGCCTCATCCTGCAGCGCCCTCGCGAGCGCCTCGCGGATGCAGGACGAGCCCTTGAGCGCCGAGTCCCAGTGGCGCGCGGCCTCGGCGACCCACTGCTCCACCTGCGGCCGCGTCAGCATCTGCTAGCACCTGATGAGCCAGGCAATCAGCGCCGAGGCCCTGTCACCCGACTTCTTGGGCTCCAGCATGACGATGGCCTGGAGCAGCTGGAATGGCCAGGCCTGTCGCTGCTCAACCAGATTAATCAAATCGACAAACTGCTGGCGCGCCGCCACAGGAAGACGCCGCACATCGGATGCAACTAAACGGTCGACGCCTCGGCCCCTGTCGGGCTGCAGGCGAAGGGCCTGGTCAAGCTGGTCTAGCGACCAGACGGGGCAGGGCTCCTGCTGAGCCCGCTCCCTGACTCGAACCAAGGTGGCTACGGGGTCGTGAGACGAGACCGATTTCGAGGTCCAGATCTGTTGACAAAAACGCTGGTTTTTATACCAATGACTTCTAGGGGCGACGTACCCTTACGGTCGCCACAAATGAGCTCATCTTCAAACCTTGGGCGGGGCTTAGTGATTTTGTGCAACTTGCCAGGCTTGGCCAGGGTAGGGTCCGAGAGCCAGTCGGCCCACGCGCGCGACTCCTTTTCAAAATCTTGCCTGTGGGCACGGGCTGTCTCATCGGATGCTTGGAGTGCCATGTCGAGCAGGGTGGGATGCTCGACCTTGGAAATGTCCGAGAGCCTCTCGATCCACACAACGCGGTGGAGGCGCGCCGTCGGAGTCGGGCTCTTGCCTGCCGACGGGGCCCCCTCCTGTGCCAGTCTCTGGGCGATGTTGCCAAGCTCTCTCTGCTGCTGGGCACCCCTCTTTTTGGCCGCGAGGGTGCAATGCAGTTCAAGAGTGTTGGAAGCCCTAGCCCACCAGCTGGCCTGGTAGCTCTGGAAACGGGGTCTTCCGAGGCCTCGCTCACGGACCTCCTTATCTTTTAGCTTGAAATTGTCAGCTCTCCCTTTAAATCTCGAGGCGTCCTGATCTGGAATGGCGTAAGCCTTGATATAAAAGTTCCCCACCTGTTGCATTAGTTGGCCATATCTCTCACCAAGCTCGATGGAGTCTGACGGGCTCACGCGAAAAGCTGGGCAACTCTCAATGTGATCAGGAACGCTCTGCGCTCGAGGGGGAGGGGCGGTGCGGACTTCAGCCCAGAGCTCATCGAGGGTCTCCGTGCAAACCCCCAAATCAGCATCGCCTAGCTCGGCAGCCCTGGAATCAGACTGCGAGGCGCCAGCTGAAGGGGGCAGGTTCCCTCCCCTAGGCGGGGCGGGCGACGGCGACACCTCGGGCTCCTTCGGGCCTTCGGGCTCACTAAATGGACACTCAACTGGTTCAGAAATGTCCTGGGAGTCCTCCAGAACCCTATCTAATTCTTCAAAGGGATCTAATTCCTCCGGGTCTAAACCCGCGGGCGCCCTGGGAAAATGTGACCACCCAATTGGGCCTAGAGCCTCCCAACGTCGGTTTGCCAGTTCTTGCTCCCTGTCTTCTACTTTTTTGGAGGCGAGGGAGGAGGCGGCAGCGGCGGCAGCAGCGGAAGCCGCAGGCGAGAGGTCAATGCTTTTTCCCGCAGGCGTCGCTGCCTCTTGCTGCTCGGGTCCGCCTCTTTCCTGCGAGGCGGGTGCGCGAAAGGCGCAGGCATGCAGAGTGTCCTCGTTGAAGCTGGCACATCTGAAGCTCGGGGCGTGAGAACCTGACCGACGTGGGGCTTCCAGGGGACCGCAACTGTGTCTAAACCTTGAAAGTATAAGGTCGCATCGGGGCTCATCAGAACATAATCAATCAGGGAGGGCTCGGATCTTTTTTTGAAGCACGTATAGCCTTGCTCGAGACAGCCAATAGTATCTCCAAGTCTGGTTGGCCATCCTGACTTCCAAAAAGTCTCGGGTGAAGCGTTGAAATCTCCAGCAGCGATCCACATATTTCTACGCGTGTGTAAAAAAAGGCCGCCATCGCAGACAACTTGGCAGCATTGTTCTCCGTGGAGCAGTTCGTGCCCTCAAGGTAGAGGCTGATGAGGGTGATACTGACACCCTTGAGATGCCACGTGACTGGCATCCAGTCCTGAAAACTAAAGGTGGGGCCTTTCTGTCCCCGACTCGTGTACACTGAACTAGACGACGCGCAGCGTGGCTGAGCCAACTCCCGAAACATTGTGCGCTGGTGCCTTGAACGGATGGCCGTGCAGACACCGCCCCGCGAACCCTTTTGCGAGGTCTCGCTCTGGCGAGCAGCAGAAAAGGCGGCTTTGAGGCCCCAGCCTCTCACCTCTTGCTCCAGCTCGGCCAGTCTACTATGCTTGACGTGGGTCTCTTGCAGCAGGAACGCATCGTACGAGTCCACGGACTCCCTGATGAATCTGCTGGCTTTGACTCCCCACTCATTGATGTTCCCGATGAACACTTGCCGAGTCGGCCGCTCGGGAACGCTGCGGCCTTGACCTGGCCCCCGTCAGGCGGAGGGCGGCGCCGCCGCAGGCGCAGCAGCCGCGGGCTGGGGCTGCTGCGAGCGCGCCGCCGCGAGCAGCCTCTGCTTGGCCAGCTCCCTGGCTCGGTCCTTCTCCGCCTCCTTCGCCTGCTCTGCGCTGGCGGCGGCGGCAGCGGCGGCCGCCGCGCCTGCGCCTGCCGCCGAGCCGTCGACCGCCTGGGCAGCGCCCTGGGCCTCGGCTGGGGCGGCTGGCTGCGGCGCGGCAGCAGGAGGCGGCACCTGCTCGTGCTTCTCGTCGCTCACGGCCGTGCCGTCGATGCCCTGCCTGCGCTTCTTGGCCGCCTGCGTCGCCGCCGCGCAATCGGCAGCGGCAGTCTGCTTGGCGGCCTCCAGGTGCGTCTTCAGCTGGGCGACGAACTGGCCCGTCCTCTGCTTGAACTCGGTGAGCATTTTCTCCTTCGCCTTGTTCGCTTCGGCAATAGCTTCGGCGTCGACCTCGTCCGCGTTGATCTCCAGGGCACCGTCTAGATCCTGCAGCGTCTCCTTCTCGAGCGCGTCGGGGTCCATCGTGAGTGTGTCATGGAGGAGGGTGGGCTTCTTCTCGGCATGGCCCTCCATGCGTATCTGTTCGACGATCTTCTCCGCGCTTACCACCGCTGCAGCCTTCTCCTGCAGGTCGGTCTCGAGCTTCTGGAGACGTTGCTTGGCCTCGTCTCTGGCCGTAAAGGCCTTGTCGTAGGCCTTGTTCTTCTGCTCCAAGTCCCAGGCGGCGTCGGCCAGCCTCGTGGCCATGCTCTTCTGTGGCTGGGCTGGCTTGGACGCCTGGGCGACTGCGCCGACCACCGTGGCGAGCTGCTGGGTGATCTCGGGCTGCAGTGCCATGCCCGCAAGCTGTGAAGACACGTCCTCGAGGGCCTTCAGCAGCCCTTGCCCTTGGTGGTTGGAGTCGTTGCTCTTCTTGTCCTTCCCCTTGCGCGCGAAGTGGGCTCCGCACCTGCACTTCCACTGCAGTGAGGGGAGGACATCGTCATATTCCCAGCGCTCACACCTCTTGCATGCTGTCCACTGGCGACTGCGCCCATGGGACTGCTGCTCGTAGCCGTAGTTGGAGCCGTGCGGCTGCCAGCTCTTCCCCATGTTGAACGCGTGGTGGCCGTGGTGCTGCTCGAGGTCGGCCTGCGCCGCCGCGGCGATCCTCCTCGCCTGGTGACAGCGGTGGCGGAGGCGCCTATTCCAGGCGGGCTCTGGGGGCTGGGTGCGCTTCTTCGCCGTCGACGCTGACACCTTCTGGGTCAGCGCCCTAGGGTCGGCCAATTCTCTCGAGCGATGCCAAAATGGGCTCGAGAATGGCACGACGCCTAGGAGGAGGAAGAGGGGGGGGAGGAACAGGAGGGGGAGGAGGAGGAGGAGAAAGAGGAGGAGGAGGGGCAGGAGGATGAGGAGGGGAAGGAAGATGAACAGGAGGAGAAACAGGAACATGACAGGAACAGGAGGAGGAGGAGGAGGAGGAGGAGGAGGAACAGGAGGAGGAGCGACACTGGCCAGCAAGAGAAGGGCGGCCAAGAGCAAGAAACGCGATCGAGAACCCGTCCAAGGGGTAAGAGAAATCCGCCGCTCCTCAGGGAAGCTTTGAAACCGACCACCACGCAGCAAGGCAAGGCCAGCCTCCCTATGCACTACTCGAGGTCGCTCATATCGGATTCATCTTCGAGCACGCTGGAGCCTAGGGCGACACCTCCATAGAACATCTGGTCGAGGTATTCCGGGTCAGGGTCAGGGTCGAGATCAGCGAGCCCCGTGAGGCACCGGAACTCGTGCAGGAGCACCTGGAGAAAACCGTGCATCTCGTCCAAGTATTCCTCCGCAGCCGTCGTGGTCTCGCCCATCAAGACATCGTCGTGCCGGGACTCCGGCGGGGGCGCGTACTGGACGCACAGGGGCGCAGGAACAAATTCCACAGCACGGGCGAGGGCCTCGAGACGAGCATGGACGTCATCGGAGACCTGCTGCATGCCGAGGTTGACGACCTCCGCCGCGCTGCCGCGCACCACCATGGCGCAGGCCGCAGGCGCGATCGTGTCCAAGGTCTGCGTCCCCTGGTTCTTGAAGTCGCTCCCGATGCAAAACTCCGCGACGGTGTCTGGCACAAGCGGGAAAGGCGGGACGGAGGGTAATGCCTCGCCGTTGCCGTAATCCTCGTCGTTGCCGTAATCCTCGTCGTTGCCGTAGTCCTCGTCGTTGCCGTAGTCCATGTGGAAGCTCTTGCCCTCGTCGTTGCCGTAGTCCTCGTGGGGGCCGAAGTCCGCATTGTCGGTGCTGGTGACGGGGTCGCCGTCCTCGAACGTCAGACCGGACTCCATGGGATCGCTGTCGATGCCCTCGGGTGCAATGGGAGAGTACGGGATGAGCTTCGCGTGCAAATCGTCGAGAAACTGCGAACTCTTCGCGTTGTTGACATGCCGATTCCAAAAATAAGCGATGTCGAGCGCCTCCAGCTTCTTGCGAAGGTTGCGATCCTCCTTGCTCCTGAAGACCTTCCGGGCAGCCACTGCAAGCCCTTCGAAGTGAATCCCCGTGGCCTCGCAGATAGACCGGAGAGCCTCTCCACGAAGCAGCGCAATCCGGGACTCCGCCATCCGACCGAAACTGAAAGTGAATGTCTGCAGAAAAATCAAGCCTATTCCGAGGCCTGCCGAGCACTTGAGCCCAAATGGCTACGGCGGAGGGACAGGGGGAGGAGGAGGAGGGAGAGGGGGAGGAGGAGTAGGAGGATGAGGAGGGGAAGGAAGAGGAACAGGAGGAGGAAGAGGAACATGACAGGAGGAGGAGGAGGACGAAGAGGCAGAGGAAGAGGAGGAGGAAAGGAACGGTAAAGACCTTGCTGAAAAAGGCCCGCGCGGGGCAGGACATCGTGCTACAATGCGCACAAGATGCTCAATTACGGCGCGCTGGCGCACGAAACAACATCAGACGATAATGTTCGCCATGCCTCTCTCCACTTTCCCTGCCGGGCATGATCGCAATGCCGCCTCGGGGCGTGCATCCACGGTCTGCGAAACGGCTTGGCTGGCCTCAACCGGCTATCCCTCGCCGCTGTTTGCCTCGATGGGTCTCGCCATCGAATTGCTGGGATACCCCGCTCGCATGTCTCCACTCGAGCAATCTGTTCAGCCCATCTCCACTTCATAACAAAACGCTCTCTCATTCAATTTTCGTCGCCGCTTTACGCGCTAACCGTCGCGCGTGCTGGGCCGCGCTGTGCACCCATTCCGCCCAATATTCCCCGCCCGCTCGCCCGCTATTCACAACTCTTCTGAGCATGGCATTGTGGTTTAATATCAGCCCACGTACTTCTTCTACTCTCGGAATCGGCAAAACTGACTCCCTACAGTGAAAGTCTGGCGTGCGATTTAGCTGCCAGTCGGATCCTGCAGCGGCAGCTTCGTTCCCCAAAGGGCCAACCATGCTCTCTAAGGTCGGACTTGTATTCTAAATCCATCCTCGATCTGGATGTCCACGCTGGAAATCTTCTCTGCTGGTCACAGCTTGGCATCTCGTGGGATGGAGAATTATGCCCCTTCTGCTGAATATGCCCCGGAACGTAGCAACCACTCGTCCCATTGAAGTCCACGAGTGTACTACTGACGTCTTACCACCCGCAAATGTGATGTGAACGAGCCTCTCTCTCCGCATCTCCCGGCCTACGTTCGCGCCGTAATCTCCCCTTTTCCACGTGGCGCTCACTTTTCTGAAGGCTCCGTCCAGAACTACAGAAAACACTGGCGAGAGCGGGCCCCCTTGATTCGCACCTCTCTGCGCCGCGAACTCTTTGCTGCTGGCGTGCCGCGAAGCAATCTACCAGTCCGCATCCGACTACAAGCGACGAAGTAGAACGACCAGCTGCGCATTTATGCCATGCTTGAAAAGTGCTTCAACACGTGACGAATGATGGGCTCTGTCAGAAGCCTTTTCCGCATCCAGCATGGCAGCCCATAGCCCCTCTTCCCACTCTGGCGATGCCCCGACGATCGTGCGCAAAATATGTGCAACACCAGCGCGCCCTTGTCCTGGTCTAGATCCCAACTATTCGCGCCCTAAGCGCTGGTCGGTGACCATCGCTATCCTGTTTCCCACCGGAGTTCTGAATCATTTAGTCAACGCCAATGACGCTGCAATGGGCGGGCGTTTTTTTGGCATCGTGTAATCTCATTTCTTCGACACAGCTCTGAATTTCATGGGTCGCCAGTCTTCCGCTGGCAGCATGTGTCCCCATTCAATCTCGACGACCAAATCATAAGTTTCTCGACGACCAAATCATAAGTTAGCTTCGCTTGTTCCGGGTGGCTTGTCTTCCCCATTCCTGCTGCTGGACCGTCCTCAGCTCCTGTTCTCCCCGATCGCTAATGTCTTCAATGCCGCCTGCTATTCCTCTTCGGACACGGCGTCCTCTGGAACCCCGAGTGGCCCAGCGCGACCCTGGCCCCCGCGCGCCGAGTGCAAGTCTTCATAGTAATTAAATCTTGATCCGCGCGCGCGTTGCCGCTCGCATCCCTTCATTACCGTGATGCCTTGGGCGCCTGCCTGCTGTTCTTCTAGCCTTTTCGAACGTGCGACCTCCGTGCCCTGCGACGAGAACTCCTATTCCTCCTCTTGTCCCCGTCTTCGCTCTCTTGTCAAAGTTCTCCAGAACTTTCGACGAACGCCTGTTCTTGTCCTGGTTTGATTCAGTGCGGCCCCCTTCAAGCGAGCCCGCCACCTCCAAGCAGCGCTGACATTGTCACCGTCCTTTCTTCGGAATACTTTCCGTCTTTCGCGCGGCCTCCACCGCGATCGTTGCCGTGAGATCTCCCGTCAGGCCGCATCCATGCGCTCGACCAATTCATCGTGAACATCCGTCGGCTGTCCATGTTTGTCTGGGCGGGGCTTCCAGGTCCGTTGTGCATGTAATTTTCTCCTTGGACGTTCTGGTCTCTCCGCAGTGTGGAAGGGCGCAATGGGCGCTCTAGATAAATGTTCTTTCCAAGTGGTGCGCGCTTCCCCGGCGCTGTAAACCTGTTCCTCCGTGCGTCATCAAGCAATGGGGAGTCCATCTGCCTCGACGCGCCTGCGCCCCACCATGTGTGAGTCCGCTCGTCAATCATCGGATTTCCCCTGGATGTCGTGGCCTCCTGCGCGCGGCCCCCGTGGAACCGCCCCGCGAGCGCGTCGTCGCGTTGGCGTGTCTGCCCCTGGCCACGCCCCCCCCTGCAGTGTCTGCGGAGTCGTGCTTCCTTCTCTGACCAATGATCGCATTCGACCATTTGAAGCGTCCGTGTGCGCTACCCGCCCCCCCGCAGCTATGAAAGATGGAGACGTCCTCCTCCGTCCTCGCCAGCTCCAGAACATATTGCGTGACCATCTGGCGCCGCTGTGTATGCGTCTCCTTCCGCGAACGGCCTCTCTTGCATCGGAATCGCATTCCCACGGGCGTCGCTCCCGCAATGCTAAGCGAATCGTCGACAGTTCCTTCCTGCGTGCCGCGAGCGTTCCACGAGATTATGCAAAACTGAACATTAATCCCTTGGCCTTCCAGATCCCCATCCAGATTCATTTTTTTGTTGGTTTGTTTTTTTTTGTTCTTCCCCTTCTTCTTTAAAATGAGAAATCAAATGTGCGCATTGGCGCGCCCCCGTCAACTTTCGCCAAAGTCCCCGTGCCACTCCTATCCGCGTGTTCGTCGCCAGTGCCGTGCCCTATTCCGTGGCCGCGAATTCATCGGACATCTCCTGGTATGCCATTGCCGGCCTCAGCAATTTCATCATGCCCCCCTCCCCTGACCGCTCTGCCGCTCGAGTGTTGTTCCATCGCGCCTGCCTTTCCGACTAGCTGGTTGCTGTCTCTCTTGATCCACTGGCCGCCCCCTCCAGTCTCCGCAGTGGTCGCCCTCGCAACTTTCGCGACGGCCTTGGTCCAGCTCAGTGTTGGGCTACGCATCGAATCCGGATTAGCCTAAACCTTGATTCCCAAGACTTCGCGCGTGCGTTTATTGCCACATCGATGCTCGACTCTTTAAACGCGCTGCCACGCGGCGGGATCATCTCCAAAAAGCGCGCGCTTCCTCCGCGTCCTTCTGAGCTGCTCCTGTCCATTCCTGCGCGGTGCTCATGGTCGTTGCGCCCGTGGTGCCTCCAAGGGAATCGCCGAACCATAATGTTCTTATTCGCCTTTCAAAACGCGCGCCTCCGAGTTTTTTAAATGCGCGCTGTCCTTGCCATCCTTCTCCTTTGCAGATGACCTCCAATCTGCGCCGCATGCTGGCCGGGTCTTCCCGTGCCAATTCCTTCGTGAGGTTCGACGCCGTCTTCTGGCAAACGATATTGCGTGACCATTTGCTCTGTCGTGGATGTCGCTCCCCCCTTTGCCGACTGCGCCGATGGCGCCGCTGTGTCAACTGAGTTTTTAACTTCCTGGGCCGCGGCCGTTGTCTCTCCCGCTATTCTGGCAATTCTTTCATTGCTGTCCTCGTGCCCTTCATCATGTCTCGGTCATCATCTTCCGTTTTATTCGTCGTCGCTCATGCCGCCCCCGTCCAGATGCGCATTTGAATATGTTTCCTCCTCGGCATTGTAGAACGCCCTGTCGCGCTGATTCTGCCTCTTGGCCGCGTCGTTCGGAGAAGCGACGGTGTGCTCAACGGCCTTCCAGGCTCCCGTGCTTCCATGGTCGAAACTGTTTCAGCGAGTCGCGTGTGCATAGCAAGCGTGCAATGTGCGGATTGTGGGCGCGAAGATCTTTAACGTAAAGGTCTCGAGCCAACATGGCCATGGAGGATGATGAAGATGGGCGGGAAGGCAGAGGGGGGGGGGGCGGATGCCAATGCACTGTCGTATATTCAAGACGTGGACCTCTTGATGCGAGCCGTCTCTCGGCTGTCGCGGGGGCCCCGGGCGCCAATTTTGCGAGCGAAGGCAGTCGCGATTCTCTCGCGACCCAGGCCTGGAGTATGACGCTCGCGCGTAGCTCGTGCTGCTCGCGCGATCTCCCCCCGCGTGTTTGCCCATTCCGCCCGCGTGCCGTTGCTTCTGGGGCCCGCTGGCCTTCAATTCCCTCCTCGCCCCCCCCCCCCCCCCCCTCCCTTTCCCTTCTGCCTTCCCGCCCCCG